AAGGTTCAAGCCACAGGACCAAGGGGATGGGCAGAGTCTGCCTCTCCCTGAGCCCATTGGACGTGCCATCTTCCGTGAGGATCTGATTCAGGCCGACACTCAGACACCAGGGCATTTCGGGGCTCCCGAGGGAAGCGCTGGGCTCCCCTTGCCTGGAGGCACTTTGAGCTTCGCCTGCTGTGATCTGGTGGCATCTGGAAACGCCCACAGGGGAGGGAAAGGAGGACGTGGCTGCAGAGACTCCTGGCCCCAAACCGGCACCGACATCCCTAGGAAAATCGCTGCCACTTGTCAGAAAAACAGCTTTGAGTGGACGTCACGCTGATGGTAATCAGATTTAAAATTAGCCTTAACGTGCCTGCATCAAGGGAGGCTTAATTGCAGGGCCCCGTCAGGAGACAAAACACTCCGATGACAATTTTGCTGACAAAGTAATTTGAAGGGTAAAAATCTTCTCTGTGGAACCGCTCAGTTGCCATTGTCATCAAAGTCTGCCTCCGCTCAGACCCATCTCCTCATGCTCCAAGCTTTCTGATTTAAAATATATAAATTTAGAATCTATAAGATTTCCTTTCTCTGGACTCTAGGAACTCTCATTTTTCGGCTGGACGCAGCGCTGTGGGGTGGGAAGGCCGCTGTTCCCCCGCCCTGTGATCCCTGGCGAGTTGCGATCCTCTGAGGGCCTCGGTTTTCCCACTTGCAAAATGAGGGAAGTGAGTCCCACTTTCAAAGACTCTCAAGATGTTTTAAATAAATAAAATGTGTGAATCCAATCTTATTTCCTTTTTCCTTCCCAAACCCAGAGGGCTATTAATGATAGTTATCTTAATGAGAAGCCATTTTCTTCCTATGCACCTGCTTCCAAATTTCCTATGAGTATTTAATAAATTGAAAAACAATACACATTATTTAAAAAGAATATAAAGAGCCGTTTTGGCATGTCTGCCTGAACCGGTTATTCGGAGGATTTCTTCTCCTCTGCACCATTACAAGTGAGATGTCGGCAAGCTGCTGCTCCACGATAAATCGCTGTCCGACCGCCCCAGCTGAGAGACATGCCCGGGGAACAGCTGCTTCAATAATGACTTCTTTAGTGATGGATGAATTATTGGTCGCTTTACAGATGTTGAAATGGCTTGAGTCAAATGCAATTGTACTTCGGGCTGTTTATTTCTCCTCACTCCACTCACAGTAGGTGCAGAAAACAGATATAGCCCCAAGTGGGGCAGAAGGACTGACGGACACGGCCCGGCTCCTCTGACAGCCTTGGCCGCGTCCTCGGGGACACAGCGCGCATCACAGGTGCGGGCGCGGTGGTCCTGCTCTCGGGCCTGGCCTGCCTGGCTTCCGCCCGCCTCCACTTTGCGTTCTGCGGTGAGAGCCCACGGCTCTGTTCTACACCTAAAAGAACAAATGCAAAACGCAGTCTTGAGAGGGAGTGGCCTCACTCCCCAAACAGCCAGTAGTCTGTAAGGGGGCAAGCGCTGGGCAGCTGTTGACAGAGAAACCGTGGGTGCTCCCGGCAGGAGGCAGAGACCCAGTGGCACCCGCTGAACGGGTGAGTGACAGCTCTCTTCTGTGCCCGCAGCACCGCCTCCCGAGTTCTGGGCAGGTGTTTGGGAGCTGAACCTTCCTAAAGGGCTACCCTGGCAGCTTTTGAGGCCCACAATGACCCCAAAGAAAATGGGGAGGTGGCCAAAGCAGTTGACTGAGAGTAAATACTCACGAAGGACTGAGATAGACCAGGAAGAGAAAGTTGACGGAATCCAGGATAGGATAATCCAGCGTGTGGGGCATTCTGCAGACAGAATTCTCTTACATCTAATGACCAGGGTAAGACCATACAGATCCCAGGTGGACAACCTACAAGAGCTAAGCGATAAAGCTGTAGAGACTTGGTCAGGCGTGAGGCTGAGCAGGTGAGGCACGGGCTCGCGGACCGCGGCGGGGCCTGCGGGACCCCGAGCAGGCCCGGGCACGGCGCACAGCTCACAGCGCTCGGAGAAAAGCATAATATTTTGGAGATAAAGGAATTCACTAACAAAATGTGGGAGCCTGTTCCCCAAATCCAAGAGAGCAATGTCAAGTCCCAAACTGGGATCATGAAAACGAATAGCATGAGCATCGGAGGGTGAAGGGCCACCATGGACTGCCCTTTGGAGTCAGTATTGCCGGTGGAGTCAGAGAAAAAGGCTGCTCAGATCCCGGTTCAACCCTTTCCTCGCTGTGCGACCTTGGAGAGTGACCTGAATCCTCTGAGTCTTGAACTTCTCATCTGTGAATGGCCGGGGGGAATGATATACAGCAACGGAGACAGTTAGCACAACGCCCCCCCACCAGGTGGTCAGGAAATGGCGGCCGGAACCACACAGGGGCTACATGCCTTGTGTCCACTACCAGCAGGTTACAGGGACCTCCCATCATTCCCAGCGCTACGGGAAATACCCCTTAGCTTCCGGTCTTGCTCCTATCTCCTGCCGGTTCCGCCTGAGTCCTGCATGTTGACTCAGTTTCCACGTTTAGCTCTGTTCCTGCCGGTTGGACCCCGATTCTGGTTTTCTAGGTTATGCCCAGGGCCTGGCCGAGTTGTTCAACATCCAGCCCAACCACCTGAGAAGGTGGGGGTAAGATTTGCATGATGAAAAGAAGGCTTAATAGCAACACATGAGCAAAACGTGTGAAGGTTATAGAAACTATAAGATCCATGTGGTCAGCCGCGAGCCTGGGAGGAGATTTTTGGCAACAGAAAGTTCCAGCTAGGAGAATTTACTATACACTGTTGAATTTACAAGCTTGACTTAACATGACCTTTTAACAGTTGTTATAAGAGAGTTATACAGACGAAGTTTTATAAAGCGGGAAGTAACTTACTTAAAGCACACAGCCAGCAAGTCAGAACCGGAAGGGGGCCCCGGGCTCGGCTTCGCCAGGAGTCCAGTGCTGCCCAGCCCAGCCCAGCCCAGCCCATCCTGGGTTTTAGGTTAATCTCCAAAGTGAGCCTTCTAGAAATGCATGGAAGCAGTAAAATGTATCCTAAAAGCACGAGAGTCGCAGGCCCCGGGTTCATGTTTTAGGCGAGTCTTTTCTACGCGGAGGCCAGTCAGACAGAATATTTTATGTTATCGCTCTGCACCAATGGGTCGATCTCCCCCTTCTAACCTGCAGCTGAGCTCTTGTGGGATCCTGGCTTTGGCGGCAAGACCTCAGCTGTCCTCTCACGTAGCACGCACACGAGTCCTGCCCTCCCTCCCTTCCCAGGCGGCAGAGCCCACAGCCCTGCCGAGACCACCCTCACTCAGGGAGACGCCGGCTGCAACCACTCAGTGCTCAGTGTTTCCGATTCCAGTTCGCCTCCATGGCTGGCACCTGTGAGCTTCACGTTATGGCGAGCTCAAGTCATTGAAAATCTTTATTGCATTTACAGTTTTTGTTGCCTTTAAAGTAACAGGGAGAGGATGCTTTGGATGTCGTCAGGCTTTGGGTACTGGCAGGGAAGGCGAGAGGGGATTTACTTACCGAGCGCTGATCCGGGGTTTGCATCCACCTTTCTCCGGTCCTCTGAAGCAAGGCCGTTTCCACTTTGTGAATGAGGTGAGTCTCACAGTGGTTCAACGATAATCATTGCCAAGAACCTGCTGTCCTCCTCTCTTCCAGATGTTAAGAGAACCACCCTGTTGTCTACTTACTCACCATTCCAGAAATTCGGCAGCCACTGGCGTTTTTCTCTCTCCCCACCTAAAAGGCAGCGAATTCTGCCCGCTTGCTCAACTTCGACTCTCCTCCCTTCTCCCCTTGCGTGTACTAGTCGGGGCTCAGATGGTTCTTCCCTGGGAATACCGAACGGCAGTGCCACACTCCCAGGATCTCGCCAGGCCGCGGGAGCAGGGTCTAAGGAGGGGTGGGATGATGCTCTCTTTATAGTCCCGCGGGGGATAGTTTCTGCCGAAAGCAAGAGTCACAGGAGAGAGGGGGGCTGGTTCTTCCCAGCAGGGGTCATAGGGTAGATCGACCTCTTAAACCCAGCGTCCCAGGACCTCAGGTATCTTGGTCCAAAGAATTCCTCTTTGCATGGACAGCATCTGATAACTCCTAAATAAAAAATGGTAGGACTTTTCTCCACTTCCTTTTACTGAAAATTTATCATTTTATCATGACGGTGGATGGATCAACGCATGCTCCTGACACGAAGGACATGCATGTCAGTATCATCAAAATGTAACAATAAAGGACGCATCCAGTTGGCGCTCAGGTGTGTGCGCGCTGACCAGGCGCAGTCACCTGTGGACTACTACAAATTATAAGGGATGATTTTCCCTGCAATTTATGGAGCCTGAGCCATGGCATGTTGAGTCAGGTCAATGTGCAATTGCACATCTTGGTGACAATAAAGAGCAGTGACCTGAAGGCACCCAGCGGTTCCGCCGTGGGTGGCTTGCGCTGCACCATGCCGAGTTCTGCGCGCTTGGCCCTTTCTGACATCGCCCCTCGAAGTTTATGATCCAGACATGCCTCCGACAGAACTAACTTCCAAAAAACCCTTCGCTGGGCTCTGACCCATATTTTGTTAACGCACGGGTAGATTCATTTCATTCTGGCTTATTTCTGGCCTCAGGGTTTGCATCCTTGTTCATTGCTAAACGTGCTCCCTCCAAGGGTGCGGTCCGTTCCATACACTACACAGTGGCAAGGAAGACAAACATAAACGAGAATGTCATGGTCAAAAGGCCACAGTGTATAGTGAACAGATCATATTTTGACGCAGTGGGTCTGACTTTCTCCATGAGTTTAGATGGTCTTAGAAGTAACGCCCTTTACGAACGCTCAGAGCCCACGGGGACCAGCAATGCTCTAGAGACCCCTAATGTGCACGGAGGGCACGTCTCCGGGTCTGGGGTGAGGCCGGTGACGCTGCCTTTCTAGCGGGCTCGCAGGTGGCCCTGACGACTGAAGAGCAAGAACTGAAGTCACCACATGAACACACGAGCTCCCCGACTCACCACAATTAACTTTATTCCACAGCATGTTTAAGGGAATGTTATTCTTAGGAAGATGTTTAAGATTAAAATAATTAAAAAAAAACTGGAAAGTACACACATTTATGTATCTCTTCTTTTCATTAAATATATATCTGTTTGGCAAAAAATGTTAGACTCTTTTGTACAAAAACAAAGCAAAAAAACCAAAAAAATCCAAAAAAAAAAAAAAAAAGACACCCAAAAACAACAACAACCAACCAGCCCCAAACCCTTGCAAACTGTCAACACCTGTAATAATTACAATGATGTAAACTTGGATATCTGACACCTGGACCATCTTGTGGAACCTGCGTTGCAACAGACTTGCCCCCACCCCGCCAGGAGAAGGTAACACCGGACCCTTAGCTCACACCCGCCTGTCACAGAGGCATGTAGGTCTTGGATACTGTATCAGAGATGGAGCATGACTGAGTTTACCTTTTTTGCTTTCAGCTAAGGGGCTGGGAGGGTACATGGGCGTGAAGGCGGCAGGTGCGGGCCGGGCCGGGGAGTAGCCCAAGACTAGCTGGTGAGGAAAGGAGGGGGCTCAGGGTCACAGTGCAGACAGGATGTGGGCATGGAGGGGACCCGTGGACTGTGTCTGGGGACTCCAGGCTGTCGAGAACGAGAAGAAGGCAGCGACGGCTGCTCTTGGGACCAGAAAGGAACAGGGCAAGGCTGAGGCTGGGATGGAAGAGGGAGTGGCTCTGAAAGCAGACTTCCGTTCGCGTGGAACTGGCGCTATGAGCTGACTCTAGGGAGAAGGGGAGTGAGGAGGTGGTGTGTGTTCTTCTCGAGAAGTTAGGCTGTTTCTTCCAGACACCAGCGGCACTCGGGGCTCTCCCCTGGACTGGTGGCTGGCTGGGGACAGCCTGCTGCTGGCTTTCACGAACCAGGAAAGGAGGACATGCCAGCTGGGGCGGGGGCAGGATGGGAGGGCCCTTTGGCTCGCCCGCCGACGGTGGGTTTTGCTCCTGTCCCACCAGTAGACTGCAGTGACGGAAGTGACCTAAAGCAGTGGCGTCTAGAAACAGAATCGGGGTGGTGGGCCAGGCGGCAGGTAGGGGCAGAGAAGTGGCAGGGCTGGCAGCGAGGCCCAAGGAAGTGTTGGCACACAGCTTCCCTTTACAACAGGATTCCAAGGCGTGGTACTCTCCTCTCCTGCTAGCTAGGTTTTCCAGTTTCGGAGGGGTGGCTTTGGGGCCGGCCACTTCAGTTACAGTCATAGACGAAGTCATAGTTGCTGGGCTCCTTGGGGATGGGCGGGGGGGCATCGGGGATCTGAATGTTCTCCAGGTCCAGGAGGCGGAGCTTGATCTCCATGCTGAGCAGGGTGTCCAAGTCATTCCGCGTCAGCTCGCTCATCATGTCCTTCCCCAGCAGCGCGTTCAGCCCATCTGTCCAGATACAGTACTGGTGGGAAAGGAGGTGACAGGGGTAACTATTGATGACACTTTAAAGGACAGTAGCAATAGCTCCCACTTACCGATTACTCCACACATACTAGGCTCTCTGCTAAGTGCTTTGCCTCCATCACTATTTATAATATTCAAAACATCTCTACAAGGTTGGTATTTCTGTTATCATCTCTGTTTTATGAGAACTGAGGCACAGAGAAGTAACTTGCTAGTATGTGGAGTGGGTGGGATTTGAACCTATGTAATCAAGACTCCAGTCTCTTCTGTGCAAAGAATGCCTCCCTACATAACAGCAGGATTGGAGGTCTCCACAACTGCAACAGGAAGTCTCTAACATCCCTCCCATGGGGCTGTCATTTTAAGGGATGGGTGGAATACATCCCACCGCTCCTGGAGGCGACATCAGGTCAGCTCTGCTTTCTTCCCAACTCCAGGTGTGGTTCCTGGTCTAGTAACCAGTCTCTGCCTGTCCCCTCTGATTCCTGGCATGCACAAGGACAACCCCGTGCCACCCTGGAATCAATGGTAGTCCTGCCTTTGTCTTTCTCAGCAAAAGGGCTGGAAGATAGTCTTCAGCCCCCAATGTCGGGTGGACAAAATGGGGGAAGAAAGGGGGTGGGTCTAATCAACAAACAGGTGTAAGAGACCCAGGGACACAGACGACAGGGTGCGGATTGTCTGTGGGAGTGGGGGGAGGGGAGGGGCAGGGGAGAGCAATGGGGGAAAAGTGGGACAACGGTAACCGAACAACAACGGAAAAAAAAGAAAGGAAAGCTCCAGGCTACTTGGGCGGGGCCTCGGGGTAGGGGCACTCTGCTCCCTTTGCAGGCCTGGCTCTGTCTCACAGGGATTCCCGAGCCCGGGGGTTACTGCTCCCAGCCCTGGCGAGCTTCCTGATACCGATGAATATAGCCCGCGGGAACACTTCTGCGGTGCTTTTCTTTTCAGAAGCAGCAGGCACAGAACATTTTATTTAAAAAGGACATCGACCAATAAATAGCGACTCTGCGATACTGAATCTGAGTCGGAAGCGTCAGTATAAACTTATGATGCATTTTGTCTTTCTAAAGTATCGTAACTCCTAATTCCTAACTCTGTCCACAAAAAGGCCTAAAAATAATGACCAACCAAGTAGTAATAAGCACACCTGGTACCCAGATTCTGGTTGCCAAGCAGCATTTCCTACTAAAAGGGACCGAAGCTCCATGAGGAAACTGCAGCAAACACACAAGATGAGCCTAGGATATTGTGTTATACCAGAATGACGCAAAATTATCAAAGACATGAGGGTCACGCAAGAGGACTCAGAAGCCAAGAAGAGGGCGTTCCTACTTTCTCTTGATATAAGATAATTTAGACACTGATGATGACAACTCTGCAACCTATGTTTCAATGTTTACATTTAAAAATACGTTTGTGTCCATAACTTCATAAGGGTACTCAAACACCCAAAACGCCTCCGCAGTCTCCTACGGAAGATGCTCATTATTTTGAAGGGAAAAGAAATCAGGTATTGACCCTGCCTGTCATATATGCAGTGCATAACCTCGGGGTAACCAGAGAGTCAATAAGGCCATTTTCTCTTTATGTTATGATCCCACTTGAAATGAAGGAGGAAGGACAGTTTCGGGATGCCAGCCTTCTGCCGCCTCTAATGGATCCAGGGATCTAGGTGGTGGTCATCATCAACAGCTGCTACCCTCGCCTCAAACAGGGATGACCAGACGCCGTGGAAGAACACAAGACCCTGCTGCTCAGAGTTGAGCCTGGGTTTGATTCACTGTCTGTGGCTTAACAGGAAATACAGAAGACGGATGAACACGTGACGTGGCAGCGCAGGCTGCAGCAGGGAGAACACCACCCTCCTCTCCTGGAGGATCATGTCCGGACCCTAGAACCCATGAGTATGTTGGGTTCCACGGCGAAGGGAATAAGCGTTGCTCGCCAGCTCCTCCTGAAATAGGGAGATAATATGGGATGGTCCACGTGGGCCCAGCGTCATCACAAGGGCCCTTAACGGCGGCAGAGGGGAACAGAACAGGAGCCCGAGGGAGCAGGGACAGGCAGAGGGAGACCTGATCTGGAGGGATATGTGAGGATCTGACCCAGCCTTGCTCTTCCTGGACAGAAGCCGCGAGCCAGGACGCGGGTGGTGCCTAGGAGTGGAGAGGCTGAGGAAGCAGGTGTTCCTGGAGCTTCCGGAGAGGAATTCGGCTCTACCTTGATTTTAGCCCAGGAGGACCTGCGTCAGAACTCTGACCTCCAGAGTTATAAAATAATAAACGTACGCTGCTTTAAGTCTCTGAGTGTGTGGCGATTTGTTACAGCAGCCACAGCAAACTAATACGCAGAATTATAATAAACAAAACCTGGACGATTGGCAGTGTTACCGGATGACCTGTTTTCGGTTTTGTTTTGTTTTTGTCAATGAATAAATTTCAAAACAAAACAAAACAAAACAAAACAAAACTCCATGCACATGCTCACAAGAGACTGGGGGGCTCAGAGGGAGAGAGAACCTATAGATTCAAGGATGCTTAAGAAACTTGTTGCCCTGGCTGGTGTGGCTCAGTGGACTGAGTGCCGGCCTGTGAACTGAAGGGTCGCTGGTTTGATTCCCAGTCAGGGCACTTGCCTGGGTTGCAGGCCAGGTCCCCAGTGCAGGGCGCGAGAGAGGCAACCACACATGGATGTTTCTCTCCTTCTCTTTCTCCCTCCTTTCCCCTTTGTGTAAAAATAAATAAAATCTTTTTTTTAAAAAAGAAACTTGTTTACCAGTTGCTATGTATGGATATTATTTGGATTCTGATCTGAACAGCGTATAGGAGAGAAACACACAAATGAGACAACTGGAGAAATCTGAAAACTGACCGCATACGGTGGTGACGTTAGAGCACTGTAAAATTGGGTGTGATACAGTATTGTAGTTAGGTATCACAATGGACTACGTACTATTTAGAAATGTGCAGAGGAATACTTACAAATAAAATGGTATGGGATGTGGGTTAGCTTCGAAAATAACCTGGGGATGGTGGCTGGGTGCGGGTGCTACAGATGAAACCAGGGTGGCCGCGAGGTGGCAATTGCTGAGGCTGGATGATGGGCACAGGCAGGAAGCTGTGAGTTCGGGCCCTGCCTTCTCTCTCTCTTCCTAGCCCCTCAGTGCAGGAGGCAAAGGGGTTTCTGAAGCAAAAGCCCCACGGTTCGAATCCCAGCTCTGTTACTTACTCTTTGTTTGACCTTGGACAAGTGTCTTAGCTCCCTGTGCCTCCTTTCCCTCCTGAATAAAATGGGGATACTATTAGTTTGTTCCTCTGGAGTTTTAGATGAGAACTAAGTGAGATGAAGTACGTACTGAATAGCCGTAATCACTATTGTCTTTACAATTGTTGAGCTACTCCGTTCTTGGAAGTGTTTCTCTCCTCATTTGATAAATGAGGACATCTGTAGTAAAACGTTCTGTTTTTTGGGGTGATGATGCCAATAAAATGAGGTAATCATAGACGTGGAAGAGGTCTGAAGCCAGGGAAGGGGCTCACAAGCATTCAGCATTTTCTCCTCACTGCACTGCACGGGGCAGACACGAATACAGACTTGGCAGTCCTAGAACACTTCCCGTTACCTGGAATCAACGCACACTGGGGAAAACGGCCTTGCCTAGACTTAAATAACATCCACAGCTCTACTATTTTAGGTGGTTTTCTATACAGCTATATACTTCTTGAATGTGCTGGCCTGGGTGCAGCCACAATTTTATTTAAAAAGAGAAACAGTAGGACACAGAATCTATTTTCAGGAAGATGAAGACAAAGTCATACCCTTCTGCAAACTAAATGTCAAGTAACACAGAATTATATTTAAACACCACTCTAAATGCAGGATTTGCATCTAATCTTTACTCTCTCTTTGGGATGTACAATTTTATTCAAAAGCTTCAAACCAGTGAAAACCAGATACTGAATAACTTCTAAATGAGCTAAGTCTCCTAGGGGAGATGGGGAACAAAAGCCATGTTTTAGTAAAATGTTCCCTTCATTTCTGAAAGCTGCTTGTGCAACCACGCACAAAACAAAAATAAGAGTTGCAAGCATGATGTTGGATGCTAGTTTACAAGATAAAAAGTTAAATCGACCATAGCTGCTACTTTATCTTATAAACGCATTTTCCTCACTTTATGCTAAATATTTTAAATATAGCTGCCAGCGGACCTCAAGAAGAGAAACAAATTGTACACATAACAAGATGTCAAAAGGAAATAAGAGCATCTCAAAAATAAAACCCAACAGTGGAGTCAGCCCCGAACCTCTCAAAGTCATTTAAAGAAACATGGGAGAAAACCTACTCTATCAAATGTCTTTTTTTCCCCAAATGTGACTTTTCAATTCCAGTTTATATTGAATATTATTTTATATTATATTCAGGTGTATAAAATATTTTAAAGACTAAGAGACAAGTTTCTCTTGGGAGAATCCGGACCGAAAAGTAAATATTCAATGGTACCTCCGAGGCTGTAACCAAGGGCTGCTTCTTCCTTGGGTTAACGATTAAGCCCTTGCTGAGTCTTAAGCATCTATAGATCCTTTTACTTTCTCATGGGCTATTAACTGAGCTAGTGAGAAGCTGACAGTTTTTCCATTCCTTTCCAAGTTAACAAGATGTTCCTTCATTCCTGATTTTTCTCAGGCAGGCTTTTTCCTTTTAAATGAAATTTCAGTCTTTCTAACATTTTTCTCCCGCTTGTTTTTCTAGAGAAAAGGTGACCTTCTTTCACCTGAGACCCCACCCTGAGACCCTTACCTCGTGCTTGTCAGGAGCGATGAAGTTCAGTTGGCAGTTTGAGTCATACAAGATGGAGAAAGCAAGTTCAAGCACCTCCTACGAGAGATCAGAACAAACACCCCGTTCAGAGAAGCTGGCACGCTGGTTTTGCAGTTACAAATGGCTGCGGACTGAACGGGGAGGAGGCTCACGGTGCGTCCAGAGAAGCCTCAGGCCGATGAGTTGTCCAAGGCCACACAGCCCAAAGCTGTGCTTCTCTCTTCTTTGGCGTCCCCCTTCTGGGAGACCATGACAAGCTGTAAACCCCTTCCCAATCAGCAGCATCAAGGGCCGCTCTATCTTTGATCACCCCCAAACAGACAGATGTCCGTAGGAATATACATTTCCTAACACCTAGTAGGTAATGAGATCTTGGGTGAACCCATTATCTTTAGGTAACACGTCCGCCCCTTGGTCTCTAAACTGCTGTACAGCAAAGGCTATACAAACCCTAGATTTCCTCCTACAGCAGCTCAAAGAGAAACATGGGACCCTCAGAATACCCGGGTTCCTTCACTGGCGAGTGTCTACTGAGTACAGGCGGAATGAGCCACACAAAGGACCAAAGACTAAGTGACACTACCATTTCATTGTAGTTGAATGACCTTAGTTAAGACAGTCACTGTCACGGCTAATAGGTGTGTTAACAGCCACTTTTCAAATTGTCTGCACTGTGCAACGTTGGGTGCCAGGGTATGCCACCGGTCTGAGCGGTCAGCTGGACACCACCTTCCGAAGACGAGAATGATCACGTATCCTCAGCGGCCTAGCGCCTCCGAATCTGGGGGGGGGGCAAGTGCGCCCCCATTGGCGCTCTGCATTGTTATGACACACGTGGTAGCCACCTTCCTTCTCTGTGTCTTCATCAGGCGCCGCTCACGACCTCCTCCCCCCACCCTGTGACCTGGGAGCTGCAGCCTCAGTGAGCGCCCACGAGCTGTCCACTGCTGGGGGGCAGCCCTCCCCCCACCATCCTCTGCCTTCACAGCTCTCGGAGGACTTGCCTTGGGCGCGTGTCACGGCCAGAATGCCTCAGGAAGAGGACGGAGGGGGGTCGACGTCTGCACGATTCGGAATTTCAGGGGCCGTCAGAGAATTCTCCCAGAGGGAACCCTAAAGGCCATTGTGCTGTGTGGCTCTTGGGGGCAGGTTTGTTGGTGTCCGGCTCACCTCCAGGGGTCCCCTCATTAAGAGGGAGCAGTGCGTGTTTGAGCCCAGACCTACCAGCATCTCACACTCTTTCGGCGAGTCAGAGAATGGGAGCTATTCTGGAAAACTACCCTTTTCTTCATTTTTCTTTTTTTCTCCGTTAGGCCTCCATGTAGGCCTGCTCAGTGACGGGTGGCAATATTAGAAAGGCCTCCAGCAAAACAAACAAAACCAATTTTTTCATTAAGTTTGACATGTCTCTCAGGTCTTTCAGTTTATAATAAAAATGGTCATGGGTCCTGCTGGTAGTACCAAAAATTGGTGTCATTCCCTTAAAAAAATATCAATAAGGCAATCCATATCAATAGCAAGGAATCCCACTCCTGGGGCTATTCCTAAAAAAAATGAAAAGCAAGCAAAGAACGTAATATGTGATGCTAAATACATGTCTTCCCTTCGCTGGGTGAACCATGAAAGAAATCACCAATTAGCATCCCAAAGAAATACATTCAGCCAGAGAATTATGAAGATCAGATCTTAAGTGAAAAAACAAAAGCGGGAGAAATGAACATCCTTTACATTCGATCACAATTACGAACAATGTCTACCTGCGGATGGAGACTAGAAGTGAAATGCGAAATGAAAATAATTATAGTAAAGTTCTGGAATCACAGGTAATTATTTTCTTCTGTCAAAAAACTTAAAACTTTTTTTTTTTCCAATAAAATACTAAGCTCCACGCTCACAGAGTCACGAAAGTCGTTCTTAGGTTAGGAACCCTAGGTGAGCGATGACTTCTTTGTTACTTCACTAACATTCATTAGAGAAACTCTGACTCACGCCTGCCAGAGCCCAGACTCAGCCTCTTGACTTGGGGCCGAAGTTCCTGGAATCAGAGTGTCAGCCTGGCTGTCCTTGTGACACTGTCTCCTGCAGGGACACGGACGAGGAAAAGGAGGGGCCTGCGAACGTGGGGCTTTGCCCTTCCGAGGCGTGAACCAGTGGAGACGTGAAGGAAGAGCGCTGTGCTGACCTAGATTCCTGACAAACACAGGCAGGAAGTGGGAAATTCGTGGGCACGTCAACCTGCACTTCAATTTCACCAACGCTGCCTGGGAGGGGTGGGAGGTATTAACTCTCTGAGCCGCGTGCCCGTTTGAAAGGCTGCTATCACTTATAATGAGTTTTATTGATGTCTCTAGCTTGTCATTGAGTCGTTGGTGGAGGTCAGCTCTTCAGCACTTGAAGCCGGGAGGCCGCAGAGCTGGGCACGGTAACACCTGCCAGGCGAAGGCTCTAGAAGCTGCCGTCTGTCCAAACTGTCTGGGAGGGAGGGAGAGAGGCGCCAGGAGGTGGGGCCGTATGCTGTCATCGGTCTAGGGCAGTGTCACCCTCAGGGGCTTCTTGTCACACACAATGCTCACTTAGATATCTGAGGCTCTGGGGCTTTGCTACTTGCCACATAAGGTCTTTTATTCCCTGTGGATTTAATTCAGTGAAAAATTATACCCAGGAGCAGCTTATCTTCCTTTATCCTCTGTTCCACTAATTTGCAAATCCCACCTCACCATGTGAAGGAAGGCCCGGGATGGGTGCGTTCTGGGGATAGAGGAGGCGGGCGGACCTGGAGACCACCCTTGGCCTGGGACCTCTGGCCTCGCACTCTACCCTCTGGCCCTGGGACCAGAGACAAGGCACGTTGGCTGCGGGGGTGCTCAGAGGAATTCTGGGCATGATGGCACGTCGGCTGTGGGACTGTCATCTTCCCGGGGCCAAGTGATGGACTGAGGGAATACAGGAGGAGGGTTTTATACAACGTATTCTCAGCGTGCAACACTAGCTGCCATTCCTTATATTGTTTGCTCAATTTGGTCATTTCGGCCAGCAATCACTTTAACTATGTTGGTTCTCCCCTCTCTCTCCAGGTCATCTTGAGGGCAAAGCATTTTGATTAAAGACACAGGATAGTGTGTATGTGTGTGTGCACACGTGTGCTACATGGCCTTAGAAATAGTAGTAGGTTTCACCTATAGCACATTACTACTTGTCTCCGTACCTATGGATTTGAGTTTCTATTGACAAGGTAAAATCCACTCATTCATGTAGCGCGTAGTGAAGGACGACAATGCCTTCTTCAGGAGGCCCTAACTACCTGGCCCCAAGCCAGCCCATTCTCTTCTCCCCGTCCCTGTCCATCCTACACCCTGAATTCAATGTTTCTCAGTCAGAGGCTGCTCTGTGCCATTTCCCATACTCTTTCCCCCTCCTAAGAAGCCTTCCCCTCACTGCTCTACCTGGTCAATTCCTTTTCAAAACCCAGCTTGGACTCTGTTTCCTCCAGAAGCCTTTCTCAAGTCTCCCAGGCCTGCACTCAGTTTGTTTACTGCAAAAATTGGCAACATTGGGCTGTGACTGCATGTGACTTGATGTTGACACACAAGTCTTATATCTACCACACACCCAGGCCAGGGGCCAGGCCGTATTTACCTTTGAATTCTCAGTACCTGGCACGGGCCTGGTATAAAGAACATACTCGGCACAGTTGCTGAATGAAGGACAAATGAAGAAAATGTGGATAAAAGGCCTTTTGGTTAAGACTAGGGTTTCAAGCTGATGCTAGAACATCAGCTTCTAGTATAATCTGTTTCTTGTTTCAGGCTCATGGATCACACTGGAAGAATAGAAGCTGGATTCGGGGGCATGGTGGATGGAAGCTTCTCTTACGTTAAAAATATCTGTACCTGAATCAGTGAGATGTGGTCATATCTCTCTGCTGATGATGTTTTGTCTGTTTAACTGTAAGCCCCAAGTTCAGCGGGATAAACTCCAGGAATGCTCAGTTTCAAAAACTCAGCAAGAAATCAACTTTATAAATCACAACGCCTGACTTTAGAATCCTTAATCCTTAAACATCCAGTTCTTCCAAACGGAATTCCCATTCATCCATGACAGTCCAAGTCTCATTGAGACATTTCTCACTCTCGCTGTGCCAAGAGCCAAGGGTTGTTTGTGTCCAGAGAAATTCGGCGGCGGCACTGAGCTCTGTTGGTCGCATCAGACTCTAAGCTGCAGGAGGACAGGCCACGTCCGTCCCGTTCACACTCCAGACCCAGAGCTCGCTGTCTCCCGGAGGCGCTGGTGCTGACTGAGCGGGTGACTGAACAATGCCCCTGCCTCAAGGAACTGGATCAGATTGCTTTTTTCCCTTTTCTATTTTCAGGGCCTTAGGCAGAGCCCGGGCTGTCAGATGTTGAATGAGTGAGAAGTCGTGTCAGTTACCAGTGTTTTGCTATGAACAAAGCATCTCCCTTATGGACACTAAGGTCTCAGTTTGCCTTGCTCATATTTAGGTTAACCAGGAGTCCCGTGGCACGAAGTGCCAGGACCTTCTGTGCAGACACCTTGGTTGCTGCCCGCTACTGTGCACTGAGACACCTCCTAGGAACACGTTTTGGCCAACTCTCCTTTTAGGCTGCAGGCTTCTCCTTTCCTACCCAGAAGGGCTAGAGGTACAGAAGAAAGGCCTCTGGAATATTGGGAGAAGGGGTGTGGGTGTATAAGGTTGAGGAGGTAAATTCCTAGGACTGTGGGTTTCCTTTCTCTCTTTTGATGTGTAGCCTAATGAACCAGGTGTGTGAACACTATTAGCATTACAAGACAATCTTCATGTGTATGCAAATGAAAGAGCCAGGCTGGTAGAGATACTGCCTCTCTTAGCCGTTAACGCTGGACATGTGGGCTGAGGAATCCCAGGACAGAGCCTCCATTTGCAATTTTATCTATGTGTTTATAGCAGTGTGCCCCACCCACCCATCCACCCATCCATCCATCCACCCACCCACCCATCCATCCATCCACCATACACACAATTTTCTATGAGTACTATAAAAATAAAAAGAAGGCTGGAAAAATGTCATTTGTTTGTTTGTCTTGCTGATCTCTTCTAAGGACAGGGGAGTCTGATACATGAAGGCCACATCTATCTACATGTATCACGTGCTTGCAGGAGATCGATCACCTCCACTTCTGTTTGGATATTGGTAACCGTGTCTTCTCTCATTTTTTCTTGCTTAGTCAGGCTAGAAGTTTATCAGCTTTATTTATCTTTTCCATGAACCAAGTTTTGGTTCTGTTGATTTTCTCTACTGTTTTTCTTTTTCTCAAGTTCAGTGATTTGTACTTTAATAATCTATTATTCTTTTCTGCATGCTTTTGGCTTAAATTGCTATGCTTTCTCTCACTTCCTAAGGTAAAAACTTTATTGATTTTAGATCTTTCTTGTTTTCTAATCTATAAATTCAATGCTACAAATTTCCCTCTAATCACAGCTTTTGCCCCACCCCACACATTTTGATGTTATATTTTCATTTTAATTAGTTTAAAACATTTTGTAATTTCTTTTGAGACTTCTTTTTGAACTAAGAATTACTTAGAAGTGTGTTCTTAAATTTCTAAATATTTGAAAGGATTTCATAGCTATCTTTCTCTTACTGATTTCTTATTTAATCTACTGTGGTCTGATAAACTACTTTGTATGATTACTACTCTTTTAAATGTGTTTAGGTGTATTTCACGGCCCAGAATGTGGTCTATACTGGAGAACATTTCCTGTGAGATTAAGAAGAATGTGTATTCTGCTGCTGTTGTGTATTGTTAATTAGATCAAGTTGATCGATGCTGTTGTTCAGGTCATCAATATCCTTATTGATTTTCTGCCCATTTGATATGTCAATTATTGACAGATGGGGGTTGAAGTCGCTAGTATAATAATGGATCTGTGAATTTTTCCTTTCAGTTCTATTAGTTTTGCCTCATATATTTTGATATTGTTGTCCATTCTATTTTTTAACCTCTCTTAGTCATGATATTTAAAGGGTTTTTTTTTGGTAGAAAACATAGAATTGGGTCTTTGTAAAAATATTTACTCTGACAATCTGTCTTTTGGCTATCCCAACTCCTCTCTCCTGTCCCTTGCAACTTTTCTGTCATTCATTTCATTATCCATATGCTACAATCATGTTACACATTGTTACTATTACTACTTTGAACAAAGTTATCTTTTAGATGGATTGGTAACAAAAATAGGTATTTTTATTTTACCTTCATTTATTCCTTCTCTGATATATTTCTGCTCTTTATGTGGATCCAAGTTTCTGACTTATATAATTTTGCTCACAATGAATCCCCTCAGTTTTTGTTTATCTGAAAAGGCTTTATTTCTCCTTTACTTTAGAAGGACAATTTCATTAGATACAGAATTCTAGGTTGGTGGGTTTTTCCCCCCCAGCACTAAATATTTCCTTCTACCTTCTTCCTGCTTACATAACATCTGATAAGAAATCCATTTTCATTTTTATCTTTGTTCTTCCATAGGTAAGGTGTTTCCCCATCTGGATTCTTTCAAGATTATCTTTTTTTTTCTTTAGTTTTCTGCAGTAGAAATATGATACACCCAGGTGGGTTTTTTTTGTGTGGGCGGGTAATTATACTGTTTGGTGTCCTCTAGGCTTCCTGAATCTATGGTTTGATGTCTGCCATTACTTTTGGAAACCTGTTGTCCATTATTGCTCTAATATTTGTTCTGCTCCATTCTCCTTTTTCTTGCGTTCCATATCCATTCATATTCAGGATATATGTTCCATATATCACAAGATACCAAAAGGATAAGCAGAGAACTGCTCCCTGATGGCTGCTCCAAGGGCAAACACCTCCAAGCTGGGGGCCCATCTTTCCAGAGGTCGCCCTGGAGCACCCTCTGGTGTGGACCATAGGTTGTCATGGCGATCAGCCAGTTGGTCAACTAAGAGGGGAGCGTGGAAACTATTGCAATGTGAAGCGGGTGTAAGAGATACGCCCTTGGGGGAAATTTTCTCCTTTAAGCTGGATTTGAGCTATTTCACGGTATTTCCCACCATGCCTGAAACATTTTCTAAGACTTTCTGAGTCATTTGGACTCTGTCTTTCCCGGGCTTCACAAAGACCCCATGGAAGATCCCGAGAAGGTTCTAGCAGCAGGAGAAAATGAAGAAGATTGGGGTGGGAGTTGGGGAAGGGATAATCTAAGCATAAGCAGGAGGTTAGGAGAGGCCCGGAGAATGGGTGGGGCTGAGCGGGGAAGGCTGGAGGGAAGACTGGGCGGTGACGGAGAGGACACCTCCTAGGGCAGGAACTGGACAGGGAGTCAGAGAATGGAAGCGATGGGAGGGGTTAGACACACGATCAACGCGAGGAAAAATGAAGCTGCTGAAGGCATCGGGAAGGGAAAAAGGTGCACAACCACACGCCCTGGCATTGCTCCCAAAGCAGCAGGCTGGGCGCACTGCCGACTGCGTTATTCAGGCAGAGCCGTCTATTCACAATAATCTGGAAACCATACCTTGTTTTGTTTAAGGGCACCTTTCTCTTTCATATGGGGGCAGTCCTTCCCCGTCACCACTGCTTTGATGTCTGCCACCGGCACTGCAATTCATAAAAGAAAATGAAAGTAACTTCACCATGTAAAAGCTTCGATATCAACAAGGAAGCAGGACTAAGCATCAACTGTGCTGGCCCCGCTGTCACTCCCAGAAGCTGCGGCAAAAAGAGAAGAGTTAAAACAAGGAAGAGACGTCGGGTAGTGTGCCAGGACTTAGAAACGAAAACATATTCTTATATTCTGGCAAAAAGCAACCGTAGGGAGAAAGATCTATGTTGATAAGCAGAATGTGGTTCATGAAAACGAACAACTTAAAAAAATCCCAACACAGTCATGTGAAAAGTGAAGGTATTAGAGGAAGCAGCAGTAACAGTAGCAGTGGTACCAATACTGATTCTCTGGAGGACACTGTGTGCCAGACACAATGCCAAGTGCTTCCCATGTATCAGTAGCTCCTGCTAGAGTATCTACATCTATTTAGTTTCTGAGTTTGGGATAATGAGAAAAAGCAGCCTTATTGTAGAAAATGTGTTTGAAGCTAAATCATCCTGAACTCTGTCCATCTTATTGCCCACAAATTCTTGTGAGGCAGGTTTCATTATCCCTACTTTATAGGCAACGAGACTAAACTCCAAGAAAGGGAACATTTTTGTCTGATACAGAAGGGGTAGCTGGTATTTATTGTGCAGTTAGATGAAGAGATATCTCATGTCTTACTCAGGACTTGGAAGGAGACAAAAGAGATGGAAAGGTTTATGCATTGAAGATTTTGTGTTAAAATAATCGGAGAGAGAGAAGGCAGTTGGATGGCGTGGGAGCTTAAAAAAATTTCAAAAGCGCCTGTCCCTCTCCTGTTCTTAATCTTTTGTCCCGTAAGAGACTGTGAGGTCTCACTTAGGATCTGCAGAAGCTTTCAGTAATGAATTCCTAAGTAATCAATCAGTAATTTCCTTAGTAATCATTCCCTTAATGATGAAGATGATGAGCAATTTCATAATTAATGTTCACATACTTTGACTGGGGAATTGGGTTGTGGGGGAGATACTTAGGTGATGATAAAATTATAAAATACATAGACTATCAAATTAATAGAACAGGAAGGCCCCTTCAAAGCTAACGTTTTCCAGGTACCCTAAAACTGCGAAGAGCCTTGTGCAAATCTGTCGACACTCCTGGCGCTCTCCCCAACCCTAGGGAAGAGCAGAGCTGCGATGATCTCTCTGGGGGGCTCTGCACACACCCCAGTTATCTGTCCCAAGGTGTTTCGCAGTCCTGATTCTAGACCCCTTCGATTGACATGTACTCACTAAAATCTGGCTTTCCTTTCTTTCCAGGCATATGGGAGACGACACTTCCCAGCAACCTTTACGGCTATGGGATTAGTTTTGGCCAATGACATGTGAGAGGAAATGGCAAGTCTCTTTCCCTGGCTGAGGCCGTGAAAAATCCATGCCCACCCGCCACTCTTCCCCAGTTGCAGAGACTGAACAGTTCCTGGATTCCATCCAAATGGCATAGCTACGGAATGGCCAAGCAGCCACTGGCCTGGGTCCCCGAGTGACCGTGTGGAGCAGTCTTTTGACAACACATGCTGGTTATATAATGTGAGGAGCAAAAAATAAACTCTTGTTGTCCTAAGCCACTGAGATCTGGGGGTTGTCTGCTCCTGCTGCAGCATGTATTGACGCAGTCTATCCTGAGCGGCAGACCCCTTCCCCAGGACCCCTTTCCTCACGCCTTTGAATTGGCAGCTCCTCATCATCAGTCTCTGTGACTCCTCAACCTACTGTTGACTACACCTGTGAACTTTAGTTCTCCTCAAATCCATTTTCATAACCACTGACCAGCTCTGTGCCTCTCAGCGGCCTGTCTGGCTGCCTAATTATGACCCTAGAAGGGGGACATTGAGGTGCTTTGAGAAATTGGGTTTAGTTTTCAATGGAAAATCCACCACTGAAGTGCCCTTGACATATTAACATAACAGTTCAGAAAATCTTCTCAAGCTTCAGGTGCAGGCTGAGTCATAAGTAACTCAGAAGTAGGAAGTCTTCATTGTGTAATCTGTAACATGGTCAATGAAGTAGAGAGAGTGTCTTCAATCCATAAATAACAATTTACCCCTTGGCTTTGAAAACCCACCATATGAAATGGGACAAGATTAACACAAAGCCTACCGTGGGGGCGGCCTGCAGACTCTCTAATGAGGAGGCTCCAGGGGAGAAAAGGCACTTTTCTACCTTGTTTGAGGCAGTACGTATTTAATATTTTTATATACATTGTCCCCTGTCAAGGAGACAAGCTGCTCCATTACTCACAGGACTATGGCTAAAAGGAAAACACAAAATTCTAAAAATACGCCATGGCTTTTAAAGGTTGTTCTTTGCATAGTTTGCCTCTAGATGCACTGGAAGAGTAGGCGTCTGAGGGCTGAAATGCCACCCTCTCTATTCCCATGAGCAGAATCAGACTCACATCCCTTAAATCTGCACTCCAAGGAGGCAGCGGAGGGCTCTTGGTTGTGTCTAAGGCAGGCAAGAGTTTGCATGAGGTCTTTCGGGAGGGCGGGTAGCCTAAGGAAGTGGGGCTCAGAGACTGTGAGGTAGGAGAGCAGGATGGTCACTTCTGGTACCCTACCCTCAACCCTAAATCCTGGAGGCATGGCATCATTTTTCTTTCCATGCTTTCTTTGTACTGGCCTGTGATTCTCTAATTCAACGCTCCTATTGCACAGATGGGAAGACTGAGACCTAAAGAGAGGAAATAAATTATTCAAAGTCATTCATACAGGAGGATCGAGCTGGGACTATTGCTCTCTGTTCCACTCCATGCGCCTATGGAAGGTCATGGTTTCTCTGCATTTGGAGGGTGTCAGCACCCCAGTCACGCTGAAAGCTGCCCAGGTGCGCTTATTTCACTTCAGATATACTTAGGAAACTCTTTGATTGCTGACACCTTTAGCAGGAACTTCAATGATAATTTAAAACAAAAATACCTTTGAAAAAGTAAATATGGCCACCCTGATAAAAGTAGTTTCCGTTGCCACCACTAGGAGCTAAGTTGAGGCAGAAATCGCCGCAGAAAGTATCCGGTAAGCTACGAGCACAGTCTGTGTGGGCGCAGATATGGAGCCGGAGGTGCAGGCCGAGGCCGGCGCAGCGCGGTAAAGAATCTGCTCTCAGTCGGCAGCATGGAGTGGTGGGGAGGGCTGTGCCTCTGGAATCGCAGAGCCTGGGTTTGAAATCCAGACCCATCTACTGGCTACACTGCTCTGGGCTAATGTTCTGGGAGCTGAAGCTTCCTGGCCTGCAGCAGGGAGTTCCAGCACCGCTCTCTCAGAGGGTTGCTCTGAGAACTGACGCCTACATTGGAGCTGAGATCACTGCTGGCTTTCAATCTAGGCAGCGCGGAGCAGTGGGCGAGTGGGCAGAAAGCTGGTCCACGAAGTGGGGCGGTCACATTCAGATCCTTGTTCTACCATTTAGCAGTCCAGTCATGTGACCGTGAACAAGTCACTTACTTTTTCTGTAGCTCCGTTCTCTTATCTGTAAAACAAGGACAACTGTATCTACTGCTTTAGGTTGTCAAGAGGATAATTAGTGGAAAGTTCTCAGCCTAGTACCTGGCATATTGTAAGCACTCAGTACATGTTATTTGGAATTGTTCTCATTATCAATAACCAAAGTTCATGCCCTCCGTTGACTGGGGGACCTGAATAATTCACCATACATCAGTGGCACAGATCGCCCGCTTCACGGTCTCAGCTGCGCCTCCCATGCTCCGTAACAGGCTTAGTGGCCGAGGTGAGGGGCGAGCCTTCTCCTCTGGTGTCTTCCCTGTGGGCGGGTGGAGCGCTGGCCTACATTCTTGCAGAGGGAGGGGCCAGGGGCCCGGGGCTGGAACGCACTGGAGTCTAGTGTTCAGTGGGGGTGCTGAGGCCTGTCCACCTGGTGGGAGGGCTCTGGGGCTCTGGGGCGGAAGGAGATACGGATTTTTAAGGGCCTTCTGTCCTGTCAAACAAATGAGAAAGGAGTGATTTCCTCAACCTTAGGGATGAAGACCGCTAAAGGGAGTCTCACCATCTTCACTCACACCTTTCTGTAGGAAGAGGATTCAATTATACTGTTTGATTCGCGGATATCTCAATATGCAGCACTGATTAGCTTAAGGGGTGGAAGGCAATTTCCCCCCTTGGTCTCCAGAGAGGGCAATCATACCAGGCAAGAGCAATGGCACTTGACATTAATTAAAGACATGGCTCATTTTTCTGGTGGAATGAAGTTTCTGACTTTCAAGGGCTCCCAGAGAATGGCCTATTGGCTCCAGGCGAACGTGTAATTGGAATTGCGTGCAAACCAGGTAGCAGTCCTGAGGCAGCCAACTTAGTGGCCGGGGCTGGGGCCCTTCCCAGCTCAGGCTCATGATAGCGTCATCTGACTTCTTCCCACGAGACTGACACCCTCTGTTGGGGACACGCGCGCACACAGAGGTAATGTCGCCCATGCACACGCATGCACACCTGCCCAAGCATGGATTCTTGGTTTCGATGGCAGTGGGTAAATTGTTACAAAGCAGCTCTTCCAGACTCCGAACGTCTGGACTTAAAGACAGCTGGGAAAGGGGCGGACAAGAATTCCGAACCACTGGCAGGGGTGGCGGCTGGGGCTCCTCCCCAGACCTGGTGCCACTCGGAGGCCCCCACCAGAAGCCGTTGGGAGAGCTGCAGCTCCGCTGTGCTCTGCCGCCCCCCCGCAAGCCGGCCCGCCCTGGCCGTCGCCTTCCTGGCTCCTGGCCGGTGACTTTGACCCTCTGCGCTGGTGGGCAAGGGCCTTGGGAGAGCTGGGGCGGGGGCACCAGCGTGCGGGCAAGGCCTGGGTGTGCCCCTGCACGAGGCTCAGGTCTGTGCACACCTGGGCCTTCTCGGCTGCACTTCCTCAGCAACAGGACCCGCTGGCAAGGAGCGCGCACCAAAAGTCTGCCCTCAGCGCCAAGCAAGCGCCTATCTGTGTGCTGAGAAGCGGGCATGTCCCTGTCAATATGGAGACAAATAACATGTCCTGGGAGGGGGAGGGACGATTCATTGGGTCATGTGGGGAAGGAATGAATCAGGCTGGCTATTTGTCCGCCCGTCTGTCTGTCTGTTTTCTGCCCGGACTGCTTTCCCTATGTCGCGGTCAGGTTAGGAACGAGGCTGTGGGAGACGTTGTACGGAGTGTCCGGGTGCTGGGGTCAACAGTGACCCGTAACCCTTCACTTCGGCACTGGGGAGCCGGGACTCTAAACTGCTGGCCCTCGACAGCTCCCGGTGCGTGAGGGAGTTTCCACCAGTTAGAAAGCAGAGGAAGGTGAAAACGTGGCTGGGAGTTTCTCATAAAGCCAATTTAATTTCGTGGAAGGGACTGTTCTTCATTCCAAGGTTAGGTCTTCCTTACTGTTTTTTGTGACGTGATCCATAGTCCTTTTTAAAAAACCCTCACCTGAATATATGTATAAATTGATTAGAGAGTGAGAGAAAGAGGTATCAATTGGTGGCCTCCCATACGGGGCCCTACCGGGGACTGAACCTGCAACCCAGGTACATGCCCTGACTGGGGATTGAACCCACAATCTGTTTTTGTGAATGGGATGACGTGCCAACCAACTGAGCCACCCAACCACGGCCAGAGTCATTTAAAAAAAAAATGAAAGTACTGGGATAAAAACTTTTACTTATATGCTATTTTTAATAGCCTTGTTTACCAAAATTAAAAGTTTGGTAACCCACTACCCAATTCACTGTTGCAGTTTTTTGAAACTTGGACTTGCTGGTGAAAGCTAATTTAACGAACCGCTAAGAAGATCATGGGGCAAGAGGCAGCCAGCTGTTCTCACTTCGCCTGAGCATCGGGACTGCCTGGGGGCACCCATTCAGACAGAAATTGCTGCCCCTCCCACCCGAGCTCCTGAGTCAGCAGGTCTGGAAGCGAGGCCTAGGAATCTGCATTTCTAGTAAGTTCCATGGGGAGGCTGCTGGTCCGGGGCCCATACTCGGAGCAGCCCTGGTCTAGCTTGTCCACGGTGGGAGAGGGCACGCTTCCTGAGACCTCTGGGGGGGGGTCCTCGTCACGGACAGAGGCCCAGGATGCCCCGCCCCCCCGCAGGGACACGTAGATGCTGCCCCCGACTCGGTGGGGGCTGGTTTCAGTTTTCTTCTCCTCCCATTCACAGCGTCAATAATCAGCACCGGGGAGGCGGTGCTCCTATGAAAGGCGGTCGCTTCCTGAACTCGGCGACACTACGAAGCCAAGCCTGCCCCGTTTTTCAGCTGGAAGGAGAGAGAACGTTCCAGGCTGTCTGCCTGACACATCAGCAGAGTCTGAATGTGTGAGGAATTTTCCACTCATGGTTTATTTTTGCTTTTGATGGCATGAGCTTCAAGGAAGACAGTCTATGTTTGACTTCCATGGGCCCTGGGTGACAAGAGGTAAAAGGCGCTAGGACTTGGGGGTAGGGTCTTAATCTGGGACACACGTATATGACTCACTGCAGGGTCACTGTGACTTTTAAAGGTTATTTGAAACTGTCTTTACTTTTCTCACTCTTGGACTTCTCTACCTGGGATACCGTCTGAGGCTATGCTCATTTCATCTCATTTCTTTTCCAAATTAATTCACCGGCCTTTATATTTTAATGTTTCCATTATACTTGGTTTAATGTATACACTTAATACTATCTAAAAAACCCGGAAGCTGGTTTGGTGTTGGGCTAAAATAATCTAATACATTACTGGTTCTTCAAAATATACACATTAAAACAGGCCCTGCGCAGGTAGTTCAGTTGGTAAAAGCATTGTCCTGATATGCCAAGGTTGTGGGTTCAGTCCCAGGTCAGGGCACATACAAGAATCAACCAATGAATGCATTAATAAGTGGAACAACAAATCGATGTTTCCCTCTCTCACTCTCTGCCCCCCTCTAAAATAAAATCAAATAAGTAAATAAATAAATAACCTGGAACCTGGTTTGGTATTGAACTAAAATGATCTAGCATATTACTCGTTCTTCAAAATACATACATTCAAACAGACATCGTACAGAAAGAGCAAATAAATATAAATAATATGTATTTCAGGGAATATTTAGAAAAAATAAAATGTAGTTCATCCTAAATTTCCCAAGTGTCCGCATTACGCCCCTGAAGTAGACAGCCATATGTGGGTCTGCTGGTGGCGCTGCATTCTAACTATGGGGCACACTAAACTCTGAGAAATAGATGTGGGAGGGATCAGGAGAATGTTCAAGCCAGGACTTACCACGAGATGAGACATGCCTGATGGGTTTACGGAGGTGACTAGTTTTTCTGCATGATATTTAGTGACCAGAAAACACACAAGCAACCCCAGCTCAGGCCTCCTGCCCAGAACGGCCACTTACATTTGTCCTGCAAGGAATCATGGGGCACTTCTCCTTGAGGACTTTCTTCCAAGTCTCCATAGTGCAGGACCTTGTGGTTTGGTGAAAGCCGGCAATACCAAAACTTGTCTGAGGATGAAAACACAAACGTTCAAGGTAAGTAATTCTGGTTTCCAAAAACACCGGCATCCTTATTTCCTAATAGGAGGGCCTGCAAGAACAAGCCATTTGTCTGATATGAAGTCTTCAGAAAGGATTGGAGTCCAGAGCCCTGATCAGTGAGTCCCTTCTGATGTGCATGGTCAGTTAGCGCCTGACCTGCCGAACATACATTTGAGAACCGCTGGGAAAGGTATCAAATCCTTTTAGGACAATGGCAACAGGTTTTCTGAGGTGGTGGTTCCCAGAGGGTTATTTTTCCAGTTTCTATAGCGACTATGGGGTTTATTCCTGATCCATAGAGGCCGAGAGAGATGAAGAATGAGATGTAGAGAAAGCAGCTTCCTCAACACTTTCCTCTCGGAGATGTCGAGCCTATTGAGATAGTTGCGTGGCGTGTCTTGGCTGGCACACCAAACCCCCAACCCCCGAGGCCACTACACACACACTGACCCATGAACGGATCGTCAGGATGCAAGCGATAGACGCAGCATTGGAAATAATGTATATAAGCCAGAGATTTACTCACAGAATGAGGACATTCACAATCATTTCCTGTCTAATCCTTAGAGTTTGGTTTTCTAAGTAGGCATGACCAGGGCCTTAGGATCATTCTTACAAAGAATTCCCTCCACTTAACCTCCCTCTCTGTCCCCAGACATCATAAAAATTGTTGCATAAACCCGTGAGGCTGGGAAAAGGAGACAACGAGTAACTTTTATAGATAAGGAACTTCAGTGTGACAGCAACCTTTGTGCAGCTCTCAAGGCTGTGTTTAGATGCTGCCTCCTCCAGGAAGCCCTCTTTGATTACTACAGCAGAAGGGCCTCTCCCCATCCTATAAACTGCCCCAGCATCTTCTTTCATCACTGGGGCCCACAGGTTAAGCACCTTATATGTTCCCTATTATGTGCCACATAGGTAAGCAACTTGCCCTAAAGGGTGCACAGTGACAAACACTGATGAAAGAAGACTCCAAACTATTCATCAGCCCTGACAGTGTGGAGAAGCCAGGCTCTCTGCAACTCTCTTCACAATTGCCCTGTCCCCTCCCCGGGTACCATGCCTGGCACCCAGGAGCTGTGCAACTGATAGTGGCTAAACTGGTCAATGAAGACCCAAGGGGACTTGATCAAAATGCTTAAGGCACAAAATGTGTTTGGCTTGTAATCCCTCTGTGCCGCTATGCAGTTGGCAGATGTAGTGGCTTTGGTCAAATCACCTCATTACTGTGCCTACCAACACAAAGTACTTTGAAACCACTCTGACTACAATATTCCCCATAACATTTTAAGAAAATTGTTTTTCTATCTAAAATTGCTTTCACTGCAAAAGCATGTGTTAACGATGATTCTTTTAATAGGAAAGAAAGTCTTAAAAATGGAAGAAAAAGCCACACAATGAACAAAGAAAACACGCAACCTTGATCCACAAAAGTCTCAATGATTCTATCTTCCTCGTCTACAAATACGGGTTGCGAATTCCTGAATGTCATCAGAATAGGGCGATCCATACATTTAAAAGAATCAGAACTCTGATAGAAAATCTTGAGAGGAAAGAAAAAGTGATTTGATGGCTAGGAAAACAACTGGAATTGCTACATTTTCAAAATTATGTTATATATATCTCATCATTTTTTCTGGGAGAGTACAGCAAAGGGAGAAAATAAAATTACTCCTGAATAATTCACAGCCATTTCAATTAGGCAAATGTGCCATTACCAGTTTTCCATGAAGAAAACAGATCTGGGAATTGGACCTGAAATGCACAGCAGGAATATGAACTCCAAAGGAGCAGCCCACGCTTTGGTACTGAGCTACCAGCAGCGCCCTGGGTCCTGGCACGACAGGCCATAGGGATTTCTTCTGCCCAGAAGGGCCTTTCACCTGGTCTAACCAGCCTGTGATGGCCGCAAAGCCAGTGGGAGAAGTTTGCTATAACACCTTCCTTCCCCCGCTACCTCGGAGACGGGGTCTTTGGCAATGTGAGCAAGTGAACGAGGCTTCTGTCCTGGACTTCCGTCCAGGAAGGAAGTCAGTAAGCCCTCTGGCCTTATTCTGAGTAATGTCTTAGCCTGTACCTTCTAGGAATTCCTCATTTCTCAAGCTAGAGTCAGCTCCAGGGGTCGGAGTTTACTTCTAGTGGGAACCAGAGGCCAAGGGTCAACGTGGCTCAACAAAGATCAGTCCTCCGCATACCTTTGGGGAAGCACTAAGAACATGAATAAGTGGTATGAACAGGTACAGCTTAGAGTGAAGCGCACAACTTCTATTCATTTGTAAGACTTCAAAAGAAAACTTGCTGTGTATACTTTTCAGGTAAGTTTATCCAATGAATGTGGGCAGAGCGCCTACGATGCGCCCGGCACTGTCCTGGGGAGAGCAGAAGGTCACTGGGGTGAAAGGCAGATGGGGGACGGGGGCAGGGCCAGGGAGCACAGGAAGCAGGGGCTCCCTCCCTTCTGGATGGCAACCAAGAGAGAGACAGTGGGAACCTGGCTTCCCAGGTCGAACAAGTGGGCACAGGGACTCAACGGCGCTGCCTGCACCCCCGGGAAAAGCAGGAATAGAGCTGCCCCTCGTGCGACATAGCCTTACCTTTTGAAACTGCCAGAGAACAGTGGCTACTTACCAGGTTCCAGGAGGCAAAGCTGCCCTCGATGTTTGTTTAAGGGAAACACAGAAAGCTACTTGGAGCCCGGCCGGTACTGTGTCTGACATACGGCTGATGGAATTTCCCCCAGCCCCAGGCTTACGTTCTCGCGATGTCATGTTGCCACCTCTGGTTTTTCTTTGTCCTCTGCCTACCCCTTCTCTTGTCCTACCTAAGCCCCTCTTTCTCTGTGAGGCATGTGGCCTTCTCCTCCCCGTCTGATAGGACGTCTGGGACAGATAACGCGTACTGGAAAGGGGACTCAAAAGCCTTGGGAAGGCTGCTTCGACTCCCGAGTCTCAAATGCCGGCGCTCAGCCAGTGTCCTCCGCAGTACGGAGGGAGGCTGGCGCCCTGCCCTCTGCGGAGGACTGGCGGCCTCCTCACGTGGTTCTGTCTGTCCCGAAGTTAGAGAGGCCGTAAAGAAAAGCAGAGCCGCCAGCTCCGACCAGCACGGCGCCCACTTGTGGGAGAGGCCGGTTCAGCGTCAGCCGCCTGCTGCAGCTTGATTTTCCGTTTCTTTTAGGGTAAGAAAAATGTGTATTTTCTTAAAAAACCTAGCATGAACCTACCAGTTCCTTAGTCCCTCTGGGCAACGAATGAGTGGATTTTGTCACTGGAAGCAATTAGCAAGAAACAGTGAGGACATTATCAAAGATTGTTTACCAGCATTCGAGAGAAAACAGGAGTTAATATAGAGGCCTTCCAGTCCATTAGGAGGTTAGTGCATTAACAGCCATCTCTTCAGTCCCCAAGCTCAAAAACGGAAAATATGGAGGCAATTTCGTGTCTGTCTGTCTGTCTGTCTGTCTCTCTGAAGGCTCAGAGGGAAAAGCTGCTTTCAAAATTCACAAGGCTGGGGAGAAGGTCTCAGACCGATTCAAGCTGTTCCCAATGTCACATAGGTCATCCTGGAGCTAATCGCCACCGACGGCCGTAATTCTTGCAGTAAATGTGCGACTGAACTTCATGCAAGGATGGAAATACCCTGTGCCCGCTTTATCAAGAGGATGAAAAGAAATTCTAATTTTCAATTGGTTTTAATGAACCTAGTCGTAGGTAGCTATGTTAAACAGCGTAGCCTATCGTCTGTCCTCATCAGGCAGGCTGGAGACAGGCTTGGGGCTGGCTCGCAAGCCTTCAGGGGAGACAGCCAACCTGAACAACAGCTGCGGCTGTTGAGTGTGAGATGCTGGTGGCTTGGAGAGGCCTGGGCGTGGCAAGAACTGAATCTTTTTTTGTTTTTTTTTTTAAGAATTTATTTATTTGCTTTTAGAGAGAGGGGAAAAGGAGGGAGAAAGAGAGGGAGAGAAACATTGATGTGTGAGAGATATGTTGATCAGTTACTTCTCACATGCACCCAACTTGGGACAGGGTCTGCAACCCAGGCATGGGCCCTGACTGGGAATCGAACCAGCGACCTTTCAGTTTGCAGGCCAGCACTCAGTCCACTGAGCCACAGCAGCCAGGGGAAGAATCAAGTCTTGACTGACCCTACTGAGGACTCAGCAGGTCCCAAGAGCCCTGTATGTGGGAGGCAGAAGTGGCCTAAGAACTGACTCTTCGCTACAGTCAGTTCTTAGGCCACTTCTAGGATTTTGGATCTTTTGTAGGTTAGCCAAAAATGTGGAAAATCTTCAGGAGATGATCTACTTGTTTCCTAAGGTCGACTCTTTCCAGATCAGCAAACGTGAGGGACCCCAGCAGTATGTGAACGGGAACTGTCATCTTTCAGACGATGAGATACAACATTTCTCTCCGGGTCCAGTGAAGGAAGACAACTGCAGGGAGGGACTACGGGAAGGTCACTCTGCCTCTCGGGTCCTCCTCACTTTGCGGCGCGGGCTCTGGGACGAGAGCCTGGTGCGTTGACCTGGCCTTCTGTTGCCCTGGGGCGCTGCCCCCTCTCACAGCGGACACAACTCCAGAACCTTGGAATCCTTTGGCTCCTTCAGGGCTGTGCTTGCTCTTCGACCTGTGATGGCCCCTGGCTGTGCCCCGGAGGTCACACGTGAAAGGGCACCTTTCTCGAAGGCATTCAGAGGGTCTTACGTCATGTCCTCATTCATCTGTGTAAACCTGAGTGAAATGTTTAGGTGGGGTGATATCAAACCAATTTTTTATCAGCACAGTCTGCTTCGACACCCAATCTTTCAGCCTAGCGAGCTAGTCACCAGGTTTTCAAACCATTCCATTTACCAAACACCCCAAAGTCTTCCTTTCTGCACTAGGAAGGTTGATTTTATATTAAACACAGATGGCCAAGCACCCTGGGGAGCTGAATAATACATTTATAATCTAGATGCTAATGGTTTTTGTTCCTTAGGTAATTCATGTTTAAAAACTGGAAAAATGTGCAGATAAGGGACTAAGATTTCTTTGGGGGAAAAAAAACCCAAAAAACAAAACAACAACAACAAAAAACCATAGTTATTACATTTAGAAACAGGATTATTCTAGTAGAACCTCCCCATTTCAGCAGAGAAGGGGAAGTCTTGTGGTGAAGGAGACCACAATGAGCTTCAGTCGAGTTCTTTGAATTAGGTCCCAGGGATTCTAGCTGGGCACCAGGGGAGGCCTTTGGAGGTGGTATGTGTATTTGCCACCTCCCCTCCCCCCAATTCTGTGCCTTTTGCCCAATGTCAGGTAAATGAAAACGTTGTAAGTCACATTATGGGGGCAATGTATCCTGAACACTGATTTTTCCAAAGGTAACGAAGGCCCCAGGGCATAGGTTGTAATTGACTATCTGGTTCATAGAGCGAGCAGATCACCTTGTCCTTTTCTTCCTAACAGATGGGAAGCTGTGGTCCTGAGAGGTCACACCTCCTCCCTAAGGACATCCACGTGGTCACTTCCAGAGCTGAGAAGCCTAGAACCAAACCTGCTCACTTCCAGGCCAGCGCTCATAACCAAAGTGATCTTCCGAAATAAGGGCGGGACCCTCCGTCATTGGTTTCTAAGAGCTACGTTCACAATCGCCTTTCCCTTCGCAGTAACTTCGGGGGACAGGCACTGTAATCCCCGCTTCAGTTGCCCAAGGTCACAGAGCTGGGGGGAGCTACCCACTTCGTCTGGCTCCAGGACTCTTGTCCTCGCCACTGTGCCCCCACTGTCTTCTTGGAACGAACGGCACTTACTCTGACGAAGACATCCATGCAAGGAACGCAACAGGAAAGCAGGGAGTGAACCCGCCCTTCCGTGGCGGCGTGGGGGCCACGGTTCCTCCTGTCCTGCTCGCCTAAAGTGCGCTTGCTCAATCCCAGCTGCGACTCAGCCCTGTATCATTCTGCCCACTGCCCTCTCCAGAGGCCCAGCTTGAAGTTCATTGTCCTGGCTTCTCATCCTCCGGGAACAATCTGCGTTTTCACTCCTCAAGGATGTTCTGCCTTTGGAAATCCCATAATATGAGTTTTAATGGTAATATTTGGCATCATTGACTTTGCTCAACATTCAGCCCAAAGCTCTCACAATAAATGGTCAGGGGGCCGGGCTCAGCATAAACATGAGACAGCGTTTGTCATTAGTGGGTGAGCACTGTGTTTGGAGGGGACATCCATCCCGGTTTAGGAATACCTGCGAGAGTTCCTCCCGGGCCGTAACTGGTGTTTATTCTTGGTACAGGTGCTAATGCTGGCGCTTGCTCCTGGCTGTTACTCAGTCTCTTCACCTCTCCCCAAACCTTACTTTTCAGTTTTATTTTCTATCCCTTTGTTTCCAAGACAGTGTGATGTGAGCACTCTGACTTAGCAATCAGCAGCATGTCAAGAGAACAAGAAAGCAATCAAGGGACTTGACTTGTCTGGCTAAGAAACAGCTGGAAGTACGTTCCACCTTCTGAAACTGGTCTACGGGCACCCGTTTTGACTTGAAATTTTAGAATTAGAGTTTAGAGAGGTAATTCAGAAATTTATCTTGCAATATTATGACAATGGATCCTATCCCGTCTTGCTTCTCTGTTACTTATGTGGGGGAGCGGAGAAAAAGGTCCACCTCTGCTGAAAGTTCCAAGGTTAAATCCAACAGCAGGTGTCAGCTCGCCTGATAGCATAGGGAGTCATTAAAAGTAAGGGACTAGTGTGGGTCAGTGGATTGAGTGCCGGCTTGCAAACCAAAGGGTCACTGGTTTGATTCCCAGTCAGGGCACATGCCTGGGTTACAGGCCGGGCCTCCAGTAGGGGGCGTGTGAAAGGCAAACACACACTGATGTTTCTTTCCCTCTCTTTCCCCCTCCTTCCCCCTCTCTAAAAATAAATAAATAAAATCTTAAAAAAAAAAAAAAAAGGGGCGTAGAGCTGCTGGAGAACCCTTGCTCTTCTGTGACTTTGGGCAACATACTTAACACCTTATTGCCTGGGTTTCCTTATCTGTACACTGGGTGCAATCCCAGCAGACCCTCCATAGGGTTATTGTGAGGATGAAATGCATTAACGAAAGTTAAATGACAGCCTGGCGCATGGTAAGCTCTCTGTCAGTGCACGTTAGCTGTTGTTGAACCGCAACCAGCAAACCCATGGCCCTGAATGCCCAGAACGGCTCTTCAGCTCCACGGATTTGGTAATTCTGGACTTTGGTTCTCCCTGGGTACGCACAGGGCATCGGAACTTCCCGGGACTCTGACTCCTGTCCCGAGTACAGTGGCGCGTGGCCTACCCTTAGGGCAGCGCCACACCCCCGCGCCTCCCGAGCAGGGCACTGCTGCCCGCACCCTACTCGGGCGTGGGTGGCCCCTGGCACAGTACCTTGCCTTCGCCGGGAGTTGAGTTTCCTAAAGCAGGTCCCTTCCACGAGGCGGTTCAGGCGTTGCTGTTTGATCAGCTCCAAGATTTCTGGCTGAATCTTCTCCTTGAGCTCCCTGTGAAAATAAACCTGTATTCCACAGCAGGCCCGAGGGCAGGGGTGGGGGGTTGGAGGCGTGCAGCTTTTTTCTTTTTTCTTTTCATGAACACCCTAATACCCCCGAAGGTACACTTCGGAGTCCAGCCCACGGCCCGCAGGCCGCATGCAGCCCAGGATGGCTGGAAACGGGGCCCAACACAAAAACCACAAATTTACTTAAAATCTTGTGAGATTTTTTTTGTGTGTGTGTGATTATGTGTTGCCATGTATTTAATGTGTGGCCCAAGACAACTCTTCTTCTTCCATTTTGGCCCAGAGATGCCAAAAGGTCGGACACCCCTGCCTAGAGAATCATCTATGAAGCATCAGGGGAAGGCTTATCTGTTACAATAACTCTGTAGAGTCTCTGACATTTACAGAATAGCCACCAAAGCACCAGCCACTTCAGGGGTGTTTTTCTAGACCAGAGTCCCAAGATACTTCTTCTCTTGTTTTAGAAAGCCACAGATGTAAACACAGGCAAAGATTCATTCAGTGCTGCTGTGACAATAAATCTCTGGTGGCATCCCGGCCCCCCCACCCCCCGCAGGTAAACTGAAAGACGACATTTGTGATCTGATCAAACAGGGATATTGGGCAACGGCATGATTACTCTTCCACATCAAACACTGAGTCCTGGGCAAACCACAGGACCACATTTTGCTTTTAATTCTGTCACTTACAAATGGGAACAATGCATCGTCCCAGATTCCGGCCCACAGACACTGGGATAACAATGAAATAAATGAAGGATTATTTGCATCCTGTCTCAGGCTACCTTAATGTAATTTGGTTTTCGATGCATTGTGCTGTAAAGACATCATGATAGAGTTCAGTGGTTTTTTAAATCTATTTTTTAAGAGCAGAGATTGTTTTCTTATCACATGAAATTTCATGTAGTTCCCCGGCATTTTGAGTCTAGTACAGTGAGAGCTGCTCTAAATGAAGCTGAACAGGAAGGACAGATCCCAGTCCTCAGGGCAGTGTGCAGAGGACTGAGGAACTCATAGATCTAGAATTCTGACGAGGCTCTGCCCAAGGGGAGCCTTTCATGGAGCTCATCTAAGTCTCAGTTTCCTCATCTGTAAAATGGGGATAAGAATCTTTCCTGGGAAACTGCTGAGACTCCCAAAGGAGACAGCATGAGAGCAAGTCTCCCTAAGCATGCGGCAGGAGGGCAAGACAGTGCTGAGTCTGCTTCGATTACATTCTCCAAACGCTCCTTATTAAACAGTCCTCAAGGCTCACCCACCCGTAACCCTGAACTTGCTCTAAACTTCCGGTGACCTGTTTTCCCATGGTGTTCTGTTCCCAGGTAGGGAAGCCACGGTTTCACTGGCGTTGTTTTGATAAATACTCTTCTAGTTCTGTCTAAATCAACAAAAGGAGGATGATTAAAAGACGTAGGCCGATGAGAGTGTGAAGAGTGATTCCAAGCCTCACAGCATGATAATTCCAGGTCCAGGCTGTACATGGAAGACAGACAGACAGCGCCCTGGGCTGGTGAGATTCTTTCCTGGACCTGAGGTCTGCCCTACTGAGCTGCTCCCCAATGTTCACCTAGAACAGAGGTTGGCAAACTTGTTCCGTAAAAGGCCAGAGAGTAAATTATTTCAGGCTTTGCGGGCCATACGCTGTCTGTTGCCACTACTGGACTTAACTCTGTCATGGTCAAGTGAAAGCAATCAACTGTACGTAAGCGGATGAGTGCAGCTCGGTTCCCATAAAACTGTAGTTACTGAAACGGTAGTGTGTGGGGTTGGCCCGAGAGCTCCAGTTTGCTGACCCTGGATATAAAAGGGCACTGTGGAACTTCGGGCTGACCGACAGCACCTGTTCCACGGAACTTGCTCTGTCCTGTCTCAGCACTGGAAGGCCTTCGAGCTCAGTCCTTGCACCTCATCTGTTGTGTATATTATAGAATCTGGCTTTAAATATCAACTTCATCCTGACAACTCCCAAATTTATGTTTCTAATCTAGACTTCTCAGCTGAACTCCAGACTCATCAACCCAACTGTTTGCTTGGCCGTCTCCCAGGCGCCACAAACTTGACGTGTCCGAAGCTGAACCCCCGATGCCTCTGCCTGAACCCGTTCCACACTGACTCTTAGTATTTGGCCCCAGGCCTGGCGCTCACCCTCGACTCCTCTCTTTCTCTTGCATCCCATGCTTAACCAAGGAGGAAACACCTTTGTTTTCTATCTTCCAAATCTATCTAATCTATAGTAAAGACTCTCCTTCTCCTCACCTCTTACTTGGATTATTGAAATAACTTCCTAACTTGCCTCCCCATACAGCGACAAGAGGGACCATTTAAAACTTAAGTCAGAGCACGTCAGTCCTGTGCTCAAAACTCTGTCACTGTCCCCTCCGCCCCATGAAGGCCCTATGTCATTAGGCTCCCAGGTTCTCCCCATGGCTGGTGTGGCTGCAGCCACACTGGCCCCCTCTGTTTGGGGAGCACGCGGCCCTGACCCTGCCTCAGGGCCTCTGCACCTCGGTTCTCTCTGCTGGAGCGCCCTTCTCCCAAATACACACAGAGCACGCTCGCTTCGTCTCTTACACAGCTCTACTCCCATGTCGCTCTCCCAACCTGACCATTCGATTTAAAATGATAAAGTCTCCATTTCCCTTCTCCAGCTTTGTATTTCCCTTGTCTGTATCTTTTTTTCCCTAATGCACTATAATCCTATTTACCATGTTTCTTCCACTAAAATATAATCACAGCGGGAGTGAGAATTGTGTCTGTTCCCTTCACCGCTGAGTCCCCAACAGAATAGTACCTGGAATGTGGCGGGCACTTGTTAGGTCTTTTTCAAGCGCATGAAACACTGGGAGTTGTGTAAGGGACCCGCCTGTGCTCCAGACACTGGCCGGGCGGACGCCTCGAGCGCAGCCTGCGGCCGACTTGTGGAGAGGATGAGGGCTGCGCGAGAGCCTCATTTCTGGCTCTACCCGTTTTTTCCTTTTGCCTCCTCAGGGATTCTCACTGTGCTTCCTGAGGGAAGGCGAGGCCTACACGAATACATTCACGGTGTCAGCGTTGCCCCTTACGTGGGAACAGTGTGACGACTTGTGAAATTCGGGGTAAGGACTAATAATCAGGGTGACCATTTCTCTGAGTTGGCTGTCAAGTGTCCGGCATATGCTAAATACGCTAAGTCCTCTCCAGACACGACTCCGTGGACTCCCCATGACAACCCAGTGATGGAGATGCTTTTATCGCCTTCATTTATAGTCGTGAAGAAAACAGGCTGAGGATGGGTTACAGAAGTCGCTCAAAGAGCAGCTTTGCTACGTGGCGGCCTCGGAATGCAACCTCGGGCCTGCGAGCTCCCGGGCCTGGGAGGCCACACGTCGCTACCGTCTTCACTGCTGGGCGTCCTATAGCCCCCCCGCCCGCCGCCATAAATCCCATAGTGTCTAATGATCTGTTTCTGGATTATTCAAGCTTTTTATATTCATTAACTCAGATTAATTGGGTAGGCGGACGTATCTTCCCTGTAAAGTCATGCTAAGTAGAAAATAACAAACACCTTCTCTTTGAAATCATGAGTCAAGAGCTAAGAAACAAAATGGAGAGCCTTCAACCTGCTGAACGTATGTTCCCCCCAAATATCTGTGTGCATGGAGTTTGCATTTTTCTTCTCAGGATGCATAAACTTTTTCTAAAACGGGCCGCGTGCCTCCTGGGGCCCTCACGCCCCGAGGTGGCCACGGTGCAGCAGGACCCAGCACAGAGGCAGGCAGATGGGGGCGGGGCCCGAGGCAGGCAGGAGGGGGCGCCCTGCCAAGCCACCGTCCCAATCTGCAAAATGAAAAGCTTGACCCGGATGGCCTCAAAGGTGCTGTTCTGCTCTCAAATGCCACTCTTTGTCCTAATCCTAAACTTGCGCCAGACACAGCTCCTTTGTGCTTTCGTGACAACTCGCCTACGAACGCTCCTTCCCGCAGAGCCCTGAGCCCAGGCCCTGGGAACCCCTCCAGCCCCAGCTTTCAAGCCTGGGATGGTCGGGACAGAGTCCCTCTGGTTCACTGCCTATGCCCAGCAGCCCGGACAGGGCCTGGCAGGTAGGAGGTGTTCAATATGTATTTGTTAAGTGAATGAATACAAGCAGTCATGCACGGTCTGTGCCTTTCCCTTCTGGGCTTCTGGGCAGCATTTAGACTTCCTCCAGCCGTACGGTGACTTCCTGCCTAGTAGCTCGTTCTAACAGATGAAACATCACCAGAAGGGAAGCTGGAGGCTGGCTCCTGCCTGCTTGTTTCGGGGGCTGGAACGAGAATCAGGCTGGGGCACACCTGCCCCCTCATAGGCCGTAGCTTCTGACAAACCTTTAGGACTTTAACGCAGCCAGAATGAGGACCGTGACTGCTTTCCCATCCCACGGCCAAGTGACGGTGCCCCAGTTCCATACGTGCAGGGGGTTTCCTTCACATTTACACTCCTTCCTCTGACAGCGTTGCCGCAAAGACTAGACTCCTTGGAGGAGAGGGAAGGAGAACCTCACAGTGTCACAGGCAGAATCTTGGGAAGCAGAGCTGTGGCGCCAGAGCAGAAGCAAAGTGGTCATACTTGATGGGCAGTTAATATTCTTCCTTGGAACAAAGTCACGGTCAAATGTTAACTTAGAATCACTTGGCTTTAACCGAAGTGGTTCCTCAAGTCTCCCTTTAGGTCCTAAGAACTGCAGTCACAAGCACATAAAGCTGCCTTGTGCTTACGCAGCTGCTGAAGCTGATGTTATAAATTCCAGGGCCTCGGCAGCGTGGGCCCTGGCACGGGGCAAGGCACCGCTGTCCCTCCCTGCAAGTGAGACACTGTAGCTCTCAGGAGGTAGTCCCTTATCCAAAGCGCTTTCTGCTCAGTATCTCTGGCTGTCACCTTGTCGCCGAGGACTTGAGCACAACCACAGCAGTGCACGGTGGAAGGCCGGGCTGGCGCTCAGTGTGCGAGGCAGCCGCCCCCCGCTGCCTAACTCCCTCCCCATGACAGCCTGCAGTTCCGCTCTGCCATGTCTAAAGGCGACTCTTAGGGTTTGAAAACAGACATCGAGCTCATGTTATCGCTTGCTATTGTCTTTTCAGACCTGTGCACTTTCTTAAGCCCTATCTTAATCTGGCACTTGGCACAGGATCTCTGGTGAGGTAGACAAAGCGTTAGCTGAGGGATTAGCGGCTGGACTTCAGGTCCTAGTTCCCCCGCTTGCCGAGGACCAGGTCCTCGGCTGTCTAGACTATACCCTGGTCCTCAGCTGGGGTAAGACCTGCTTATCTCACATGGACACGAGGCAACGAAAGAGCAGAAGGAGGTGCTTTGCAAATTGCCGAGCGTTAAAAATGTCAAATATATAAGAGCAAGTAACAGAAAGAGAGGCAGAAAGAAAAAGAATCAGAACTAGATAGATCGATAGATAAGTTTAAGATGGGCTTCACAACGATACCTATGTTATAAGTTGGCTTCACACAAAAGTTCAGAGGAAGCTGTGCCCAGTCTTCTGAGGCAGAATGAGAATAAGGGTCCTCACCCTCCACCCCTTTCCCTATTTCCTTTCTTATAAATTATAAGAGTAACAAAACCGACCTAGCTCCTAGAATAGGACAAGGGAAGTTAAACAGGCCAGTTCTAAAAAAAAAAAGACGAAGTAAACCAGTCTTCGTGTCCAAGGCTCAGAACATCTTAAAGATGGAGATACATGAAACGCCACGAGTGTCGCTGCGGGGTTTGATGCCAAGCCCTCTAAACGGGGGCCGCTGCCTCGCTGCCGCAGGCCTGTAGGCGGACAGTCACAGGAGCACATGGCGGGAGGCCGGGCGGAACCGACAGGGCTGGGAGGGGTGGATCTCACCTCCTCTCACGCGGTCTGCCCCTCCCACGCACACTGCTTAAGAGTTGATACTGCTTTCGGTATCAGTGGGCCTCCCTCCTCTGGCTGGGCCACAGCATCTTGTCACTCAAAGGCACCTACAGAGACTATAGCTTCATGGGCAAAGACTTAGTTCCCAATGTTAGAAAAGGTCCCCAAATTTTTAGCCACAACTCCTTAGAGGGCTCATCAGTAATGGGGCCACTTTCTGGTTTAGATCCTTCGACCAGCACCTGTGCCCACCTGCCCAGCCTCCCTCAGGGGGCTGCTCAGACCTCATGAGTGGACTGAGAGCTTTTGGAAAGTCTTACATTGGCCTCCCACAAAGAGCTCCCAGTGCGGCCCCGCTGTGAGAGAGGCTTTCGCTTTCACTCTGGACGTGGCAGGTCAGCACCTTTGAGGTGACGGAGGTGGTGGGGAACTTACAAAATCGGGCGAGACTGGAAATCCTCCTGGTTCATCCTCTCGGACTGGCGGATCTTCAGGATCTCAGTGTAGCTCAGGTTCTGCAGTTTGCTCTTGAACTGGTCCAGGGAGCTAGGCTTGGTGGTAAGAGCTCTCATGACCTGCTCCTTCACCACCTGCATTACCTGTAGATTAAAGGAAGACCATAATGTTCTGGGGCTGACCTTGTCCATTCAGAAAGGCCTCCAGTTAACAGCGCCCCGCCTCGGTGAGGCCCTGTGCATGCCCTTCGGGCCCAAAGCTCGAGGGCGCTTTGCCAAAGAGTAAACTACCCTCACGCGCATCTTCCATTTTCTTTTGTATCATTGGAACTACAAGGAGGAGATGGGTCAGAGCTGGGGACAGAGCACTTGGTGTCGGAGAAGTGCTCCACTGGTGCCTCTGTTATGGGCCTGCTAGTGAACCAACACGTCAAGCAATGCAAACTCAGGAATGAAAGAAGGCCATGCAACAGCAGACATCTGTGGGAGTGTTATTTTTTTCCAGGAGAAAATTACTGAGACACAACGGGAAGTTTGGTTGGCGCCAGTTCCAATGAATATGAACCAATACCCTGCCCCTCACAGAATGCTTTCCCCATGTAGTTAAGGTGTGCGTGTTCATGCAAGAGATGCACTTGGAAATGTGCATGTGGTGTGGCCTCTACGAGGTCTGGTAAATTAGAATAGACATACCCCATCGGAAGCCTCAAGAAAAAAGAAGGATGCCGTAATTGGCGGCCTCAGGGCAGATCCAGCCCACAGGAGGCAACCATTGCCTCTGTTCACGTGGACTCACCTTCACCAGGACAGAGAAAGCAGGACAAGACCAGAGGACACATGGAGGCATCCAAGACATTTAAATAATACATAATCTTTTTTGGTTTTCAAAAGAATTTTTGTTTCATCCTCACCCAAGGATATGCTTCTATCGATTTTGGAGGGAGAAGAAGGGAGAGAAACATCAATTGGCCGCCTCCCATACACGCCCTGAACCCCTAACCTTTTGGTGCGCAGGATGATGTTCCCATCAACTGAGCCACTTAGCCAGGTGAGACTTACAATAATCTTGCTGCTACTTTTTTTTTTTTAACCCTCCACTACAGATGAGAACAACTGTGACAGTTGATCATGTATCTACTGCATGCCAGATACGATGGTAGGTGCTTTATGTTTGTTCCCTCTTTTAATCTACTCAGATCTATGACGTAGATATTATATTGGTCCATTTACATAGAAGAAACGGAGGTTTTGAAAGAAACCCTAAGTACCTAGGTCAAAATCATACACACAGCAAGCCGGCAGGCGGCTGAGCTGGGGTTTAGACCCAGGACTGGAAACACTCTACTCCTTTGCCACTCCGGCCACCACCCTTGGGGCGGAGTAGTACCTTAAGGACAAGACAGACTCACAGGCGCCCCTCCCTCCGTGCTGCCTTCTGTGCCGGCCACTGCGCTGCTCACCGCTGACGTGGTCCTCCCTCCCGTACAGCCGAGGAGGGGTCCTACCACTGTTTTAAAGCTAAGGAGACGGAGAAGGAAGGAGGACCTGTCCCAGGTCACACAGACCTAGTTGAATTCCAACTTACCACTGGCCCAGGATGGTGGATACAGTGCACACTGGAGGGGGACAGCCCCGGCGTAGCGCTCAGCCTTTGTCACTGTAAACGTGATCCCAGTACCCTCCTTACAGCGTCTAATTGTCGTTCATTCAACAATTCATGCATGGTAGGTCGCGACTGCTCGCCGATGAGGGCCACCAAGCTGCCATTTGCATGACATGTTACTGTAACAGAGCTGCCCACCTTGCAGCATGGAGGACACTGCGGCCAGAACTGCAGACCCCGCCCGACTTCTAGTGATGGGAAAATCTCACCCACTCAGGACGTCGTCGCTGACCTGTGCTCCCAGCACTTGCTGAGCTCTGCTGAAGGTGCCCCCCCGCCCCAGTGGTGCAGGCGGCAAAGCTGCCCGTCCAGGTTTCTTTCTCTAAGCGTGCATCTGTCTTATTCACCCAAGGACTGCCCGGGGATCTGAAGGGGTCTAAGGATACTGGGAGGCAGAGCGAGAAAGGGGATCCTCCTTGGCAGCGAAACTAAAACCTGTTACCCATCAGGCCTCAGGGGCGCCCTCAGGCCCGTGAGTCCCCTAAACCAGGGACGCCAGGTATGTGCACTCTCCAGTCATCTGCATACCCACTGCTCACATGTCCCTGTGCTCCCAGGGATCCCTTGTCAACTGAAAACAGCTGAACTGGGGGTAAGATGGGGGTAAGATAGGTATCGAGCAGGAAAAAAAATCTATTTTCAAGTGATATCAACCCTCATTTGCCCTTACGTGCCTCTGAGTTTTTTGAATCCAAGTCTTCAGTGAGAATATCCTCTACGAGGTAACATACTGCATTTTCACAGGGGCCTTCCGGGAGGTGGTATCTTAACACAAAAATGAATCTAATGGCAGAACTGTCAGGAAAGCGCAGAGGAGAACTTGAGAGATGACAGAGCTGTATCATTCGTTCATGGACTTGCTGTACCCAGTAGGTGCCACTGCTCTCAGAGGACTTGTGTGCCACGCCTGCCCTGTGACGTAGTTGCTGGTGACAGCCGTGGAGTGAACACATCGAGTCAACTGTCCTCTGGACTCCTGTCTCATCAAAGTTTTCAGTCCTATGGCTGGGTTGCTCCCCACCGCCTAACACAGCTAGTCTTTGGTTTACATTCATCGAGCTCTATTGATAGATGCTATACAAATTTTCTTGAGAAGCGTCATTTGTGAAGTCAACACAGCAAACATTAATGAATACTTAGCATGTGTCTATGCTGGGAATTCAAAGATGACTAAAGTCTGGCCCCCGCTTCCTATAAACCAATGGTCCGATACGCAAGCTAGATGGGGCAGAGGCCACCGCAGCAGAGGCGCACACGAGCTAGAGAAGGCGGGCGCATGGACTGGGCTGGCAGGCACGGAGGCTTCGCGGAGAAGACGCGCCCTGGGATTTACCGGAAACACGCGTGTCCAACGGCTGGAAAAAGACTCATGATTTGGATTCTTCTACGCCTTAGCCCCACTGAACCAGGGCTGCATGTGAACTGGAATCCCTGTTTCGTGTCCCCGACGTAACGGCAGAAAGGGACATTACCAGTTGACCTTCCACCTAATCCCGTTTCCATTTTCACTCGGGCAAAAGGCTAAATTTGGGATGCTTCACAGAATGTGACATTGTGAGCATCTCCTATCACGCAGTAGACACAGTGGTTAAGCCTAGTCCAGGCTGATCTATGGCACTTTGCTGCTCCATGTGGGGGGCACCTTGGGCGCTGCCCCTTTCCCCATTCAGAGAAACTCTGAGCTGATAATTATTACTTCCCAATGTCATCTGACCTTGAGGTAGGAGGCGGGACAGACAGCAGAGAGCCAGATCTGGCAGTGAGCACGCCAAAACAAAGAAGCGATTTTTAAACAGGGCCAGGTTAATGTTGGGAGCGTTTTAAACATCGTTCAACTCCCTGCATTTTACAGATGAGCAAATGAAAACTCAGGGGGCGGGGTTATTCCCCACGTCGTGTGTTTCCTTATGGGGCTGTCTGTCACAGGGATGGCCATCACCGGGCCACCTCGGAGGAGACACAACAGTTTCTGTGAGACACGACGGCCCAGTCGGCACCCTGCCCCAGGCTTTCCTGATTTGCCCTAAGGGAGAGCTGGAGCAAGCTCTTTTCCTCACAGGCTGAGAACTGTCCGAGATCCCCTTCATCGGCGGGAGGCTGCGAGGTAATGAGACCGCTGCCAACAGAATCAGCCAGGAGAAAGGCAGACGTGTGTGTAAGAGGGCTCATGATGGTGAAGCCATGTTCACCCCAAAAGTCAGTCCAATCCTGGCATTTGGTGGTTTGAATGGGATTCTAATCACTTGCAACCAAAAGTCTCTACGAATACAATGAAAGCCAAGAGGACACAAGCTTGTGGGGCTGAGGTGGCCCAGACCCAGAAAGAAGTACAAGAAGGAAGCTGGAGAGAAAACACACAGCTCTTTCAATAAGAAATAACTTTAGAAAACCATCTTCATTATATTCTTGTGGCTGCACCTTTGCATGGAAACGCTGATAATCCCTTATGCTGCTCCTGCCTCTATTTTATGCTTAAAATCCACTGTTAGAGCTTCATTCCTTTAGCTTTAGACTCTGATCCCAGGCAGATGCAAGAACCCATCAGGAGAAGAATCCTCTGCACTCCCCACAATCACTCACACTTCAGTTTGGAGAAAGCACAGACCATTTTCCAAGAGCAGGTTGACAGGATAAGCGGGGAGATGCTGCGCATGCACCTGGCTCCAGGGAGAGGGATTTGAGTGGACAGTATACAGCACAGGTCAGACGCCTGCTAGAACCAAAGACTGGCTTTGCCCACTTTACTTCGGTTTCGCTCAGCACTGTCTCCAAGACATTCTATGGTCACTCTGTGAGCCAAGGAAAAGGACCCCAGCAAGAGATGCCATTGATTTTTTAAAAGAAGACAAAAGAGTTCTAACGATCAAAGAATCCTCTATTCCTTTGCAAAGTATCTTCTCCAAGAGCTACAATTAATGCCATTAAATCTCTGTGAATGCTCCACGTGTGTGATTTAAATCAAGACTCTCCCAGCACTGTCCTCTTTGGAAAATATCAGACCTTCTATCATTATTTGAAAACCTATGGACCTAGGTTGCAGAGGCATCAGCAAATCAATGCACTGGAAGCTTCTTAATTACAGCATGGGCTTTGCCGCAGACCTCAAAGAAGTCACACTCTCAGAATTTGCATTCACTGTTGGAATTGACTGATCACTTCCTCAAGGTCTGAACGGTGCCTGTGGAGTGTTTCCGGAGCTCTTGGAGCATGTGTTCTCTGAATAAACATCGCGTGTTACAAAAGAAGCCCGAGTCCCACAAGACCTTGAACTTCAAGTGGAGAAAGCCTGTGGTTGCCTTGGGCCATTGGGGTAAAGGTGTAAGTGCTGAGCATCCCTGAATAGAATCAAGCACGCTGGTACAGATGTCCCTCGGTGTCCGCGGGGGATTGGTCCAGGATCCCTGGTGGACACCCAAATCCACAGATGCTCAAGTGCCTTATATAAAACGGTGTAGGATGTACACAGTCAGCCCTCCACATC